ACTAATGACAGGCTGAGAAAAGGAGCAGGACTCCAGAGGCTTGGGCTCTGGTTGCACCTCCTTCACTCTCTAGCTGTGTAGCCTAGCCCTGGGCAAGTCACCTTTCCACTCCGGGCCTGTTCATCTGTAAAATCAGGAGTTAGACACCTGACCTCCTGCGATCCTTTCAGCTCTGCTGCTCTGGCCCCATGCCAAGCTTCTGAAGCAGGGCTGTGCTGAGCAGTGGGCATTGGTGTCTGCCTCCCCAGGCTTCAGCACTGGGGACGACCCCACCCAGGTCCTGGACAGTATTTCCCAGAGAAGGGAACAGAACCCAAAGCCATGGGGAAGGAGGTATGTGACCTAGGTAAGCTGTGTCCTGGTTTGGAGGATGTGAAAGCAGTTCCAGGGGGAGATCACACCCCTCCAATTCAGAGCAATTAAAGTGCCAAGTTTTCAGGCCCCAGGGAAGGGTTTTGGAGGACTCCCCTTTCCTTAACTGTGCTTCCCTGTCTTCTTCCTTGCCTCATCCCCATAGTATAGATCTGGAGTTTGAACCCCAGTTGCTCAACTATGTGGCTCTGCAAAAGTCACTTAATCTCTCTAAGCCCCAGTGTCCATATCTGTAAATGGAATCATTGAGACTAACACAAAAGATTGTGTAAGACTACTCACACGAATACGCCTAGTGCTGTGCCTACTGCCAGAGCTCCCTTCCTGAGTCTGGAAAAGGACTGTTAGGACAGATGGCCCCCAGGCCACAGGGCAAATGACTAATGCTGCTTTGCCCTTGCACTGGGTGTGCGGCAAGGCCTGTGGAGGGACAGGCTGATGATGGGAAGGTTGGATGGGAAGAACGTGCAGAGGATTGCTAGTGAGGAAGGGTCACTCAGCCTGTAGACCTATTTATTGTGTTATTAATAAATAGGAGACCCAGGAGCTCTCTGGGACTTTTCTGTGGGGTTCCAGCATTGAGTCCCTGCTGATGGACAGGAGGTGGGCAGCATGGGAAGGGCCCTGGTCCATAGCAGGCCTGGCCTAAACATGCACTGTGGGTATTCCTGCCACTCTTTTGAGCCTGGTTCATCCAAGGCCCCCAGTTTCTAATCTGGTTGGGAAGGATTTATTTTTGGGTCCCTGTAACCTAGCAATGGGCTCACATGACCAGTGGCAGCTGCAGGCTGAATATACCGTTGGATCTCAGCTCCTGGCAGGGGGTATGGGCCAGACTGTGGGGGAATAAAGAGAATAGAAAGGCTCTCACCTCTGCTTTCCTCTGCCTCCCTCCTCGGCCCCTTGGCCTGGCCCCCAGATGGTGGGCAGGGTGAGGCGGGTGCCTGGAAAGCAGGCATGGCTGGTACTGGTACAGGGGAACTGAGCTGTGGTGGGGAGGTCCCAGCTGTGAGCCTGCTGTCTGGGTGGCAGGGGTGGGGGGGTTGGGTGCCTATGTGGATGGAGGTGGATGCCAAGAGGACACAATGCCAGCAGCTTGGCGGGGGAGGCCTGGCTAGGGAGTAGGCGGCTGACAGGCAGTCTATGTTGTGGGATCTCAGGGACATCCCTGGTCGATGCTGGAATCCCAACATTCTGCTTCTTCTCTTTGTTCCCTGTTAAATTGTTAATATTCCTGGGAGAGAGAACATGTTAAGCTGCTATCAGTGCAAATGGATTTATCAACCTCTTTCCTGAGAGCAGATTCTGACACAAGGCAGAGAAGGAGGGTAGTGGGTGCCACTGAGCAGGCGAGGGACTCTAGGGAGGGGGCAGTGGCAACCTAAGAAGCCTTCAATGTTTATTGAAGAAGTGGATGGATGACTGAAAGATGAACTTGGTTGGCTTCCAGGTCTCATCCTGGGGCAGAAAAGGGTGGACGGGCAGACACGACCCTGTCACGAGGTGCTGGTGGGCAAGGGTTGGGTAGGACTGTACCAGAAAGCAAGTCTAGGATGGAAAGATCAGTCCTCAGCACCAAGGGCCCTGCCACGATACCAACAGGAGGGGTGCCACTGTCGGGAACAGGGCCTGGTCCCCGTCCTGTAACAGGATTCCCTTCCTGGGTATGTGCACAGCATAGTGAGCCGTGGATTTCTTACATGGTTTGGGGGATCACACCCAGTTTCTCCATCTTGGTCTTCTTGCCCCCTCCATTGTGCTAAGCTTTACTAAAAGGAGGAACTGGCAGGTGAAGTTGGGAGTGTGCTGTCAGTAGCTACTCCACACCCTGACTGAGATCATTTAATGAGATACAGCATAAGAAGTGCCTCCCAGAGTGGGCTTTCAAGAACTAGTAGCATTATTATTATTATTATTATTTATTATTATTACTATTATTTTGAGACACAATCTCACTCTTGTTGCCAGGCTGGAGTGCAATGGCGCAATCTCAGCTCACTACAACCTCCATCTCCCAGGTTCAAGCGATTCTCTTGCCTCAGCCTCCTGAGTAGCTGAGATTACAGGCGTGTGCCACCACGCCTGGCTACTTTTTATATTTTTGGTAGAGATGGGGTTTCGCCATGTTGGCCAGGCTGGTCTTGATCTCCTGACCTCGTGATCCACCTACCTCAGCCTCCCAAAGTGCTGGAATTACAGGCGTGAGCCACTGTGCCCAGCCAGCATGATGATTATTATTATTTATTATTTGCCCACAGGCTAGGATAAGCAGTTCCCCACCCCGACCTCCTGAGCCAAGACGGTTCCAACAGCTGGAACATGCTCCCTCTTTGGTACCACCTTTACCAGTAGCTCTCTGGGAGGGGCTTCAGGACACGAAGGCCTTGCCTGCTGTCCACAACACGAGCTGTGATTACCTGTACTAGCTCCCTGAAGCCGGAGAGGCAGGCTATGTTTGTTTTGCAGGCTCCCTATCACTATTAGATAAGCTTGGAAGTGAAGAATTTTGCCCATTTTCACAGACAGCCAACTCACAGGCCAAGGTCTTACCACCAACCAATAGAATGGCGCCAAACTGGAACCAAGGTTTATCTGACTCCAGTCTAGCGCTCTTTCTAAAATCCTGTTCCAATGGGTCCAGGTCTGCTCTGGTTCTTATTGAACCCCTTGGAAGGGGCCATGCCAGTCTGGGCTGGGGCCCTGCAGGAAAAATGTGGGTGCTGAGCAGGGACAGGCTTTACCTAATCCCAGACAATCTGCTTGATGCCAAATTAATCTTGCCAACACAACAGCACAGGGCTTCATAAAAATCACTTTGCTGTCTACAGGTTTTCAATTTGGTATTTCCATTTGAATTTCTTGTACTCAGGTATACCTAGTTTTGAGGTCTGTTTTAGGTTTTCTGGAAGGCAGTGACTACTTCTATGAAGATAGCTTTTAGGGCTATAGTCTACAGTCTTGTGTCAGGCCACTGGAGAGGGCATGGAGCCAAGGGAGAAGGAGGAGGAAATACTTGGACTTCAAACAGATCTGGGTTCAAATATCAGCTCTGGCACTTATTAGCCGTGTGATCTGGGGAAAGTCACTTCTCCTCTGGCACCTGGTTCCTCACTTATAAAATAGGGCAAGTCATGGCTGCCTCATAGATTGGTGTGAGAATTGAACAAACTGTATGTAAAGGGCCTGGCACTCATAAGAGCTCAAAAAGTGGTGGCTGGTGACAGCGGCACTTGCTGCATCGGCTCTTGGTTGGTCAGTGGCCTCTTTGTTGTTGACCTGGGGCAGCCAACTTGTCCCAGTGAGGTCCTTGGGTAACTCATTGTTCTTATGGCTCTTTGGGTTGGGCCTGGTAAACAATTCCAGAATTCCCTTTTTCCTTCTTAGAGGCAGAAGGAGTCCCTAGATAGGCAAGTCTGAGGGAAGAAGGCTCTGGAATAGGGTATCATGCCTGAACTCCCTGTTTAGGCTCATGGCTCTGCCACGTGGAGCTATGTGGCCTTCAGCAATCTCTTTATCTCTCTGGGTCTCAGAAACATGGATACCTTGGCCTGTAGGACGTCTTACAGCTTTGCAATGTTAGGATTCTATCCTTGGGTATCAGTCAGGTACCCGAGGAAATGATCATTTTCTTCATAGCTAGAGGGAAGCCATGCCCCTTCATTGTGTCTCTAAAGGCCCATCATGCCACAGATGGGCGATGCTCAGTGGCTGATGCTCCCGAGCTCTCTCCAGTCCTACAAATCCAGATCAGTGTGAGCACTCCTGAGTCCCTGGCTCCCACTCTGTCTCCTTCAGGAAGTAGTGTTGTGTGGTTCCCATGGTGGCTCGGGGGGAAGTTAGATCCTCCCGCCCCCTCCCTGCCAATCTCCATCAGCCCTCACAGCCCCACTCCCAATAAACATACAGTCTAAGCAAATAATAACAATTTGCTTTTTGGTGGCAAGGACAGGTTCAAGACAAAGCCTTCAGTTGCCTTTCAAACCTGAGTGCTGCTCCTAAACCTGTCCCCCATATGCATTAGGCAGCTTCCAAAGGAACCAAACTTTGGACCATCCCTTGGAGCCTCAGTCCCCTCCCTGGCCTAAGCCTTGGGGCCCTGGGTCTGCGCTGACCTGATCATCAGTACCTTGGTTCTGATGTCACACAGAACCATGCATCTCTCCTATCTTCTCTTTGAACCACTAAGAAATCAAGGCCAAAATGTAACTTGCCCAAGGTCACACAGCTAGTAAGTGCCATAGCCAGGCCTTAAACCTGGATTTTCTGACTCCATGTACATTTTTTTTTACTTCATCAGGCTGGTCAGGAGGGTCTCCTCTACCTATCATTACCTGGTCCCACGAAACTTTTGAGATGCAATCCAGCAGCCTGGAGAAGTGAGAGGAGTTGAGCTCACTGCCCGGCACCTTGCCTGGGACATTGGTGCCCATCTTTTTGCTCCAGAAGTGACTCTGAGGGGCTGGGTGAGAAGCAGGAGGCCATTAGGACCCAGAGGCTCTCGGAGCACTCTGCTTTGCCGGCTGCCTCTCACCGCTCACTGCAGTGCTTCAGGCTTCAGCAGCTTTGGAGAAGCATCAGCTGAGAGGAGCTATCACATGGGAGCCGGGACTGCTCAGCAAAGGTAGGAGTTGCCGACTAGGCCAGGAATGGGGGCCAGACCCAGGGCCTGGTGGTGAGTGCCAAGGTATCCCCATAGAAGGGTGGCTTTCCAAGGACCAGCCCTGCCTACCTTCTGGTGAGCAGTTTGATCAGGAGATAGGCTCTCAGGTATCCCAAAGGCGGTATTGGGGTGTGGGCATCTCTGAAGTCCAGAGCTGGGGGGTTGATCATCTCCTGCCGGCAGGAGTACCCACATCCTGCAGACAGACAGCATTCCCGGTCTGTCTTGCTCCATGTCATGGAGATGGGTCTCCCACATTCTAGGAATGGGCCCTTCAGCATCCAGGCTGATGGGCAACTGTGTCCTGGGCGTGGGCAACTCTGCTGAGGAGAGGTTTTGTAGCTCCCCGGAAATCTTCCCTAGCTTAGGAGGGGGATGCTCTTGTCGGAAGGAAGGCTAGGCTCAGGTCTTTGAGATGGAAGCTCTGGATCTGGAAAACAGGTGCATGTGAATCCCAATACCTCTGTGGCCTTGGGCTGGGCACTTATGCACATCTTGCATCCTGTAACTTGACCATGCCCCTGCTAGAGGCCCAGATCTCAGGCCCTAGTGGCACAGCCTTCTAGGTACTGAAGGTCCTGGAGGTAAGAGGGGTCTTGTTGGAAGGAAGTAGTGGGGGAAGGAAAGCATCTGTTGGGGGAGTAGGCATAATGATATGACCTGGGAGAAGAGTAAGGAACCCTGGTTTCACCTATGAAACTGCTACACCACAGCCCTCCCCTCCATAGCCCCCGTCCATTAGTGAGGGAGTGCCAAGTAGCCAGATACACTGATCTGTCTGTTAAGAGAAAAGCTGGAGTCCTGGCATTTAGGAGTCATTGTGGAGACACTGGCAAGCTTGAGGGGGCTATGAAAAAGAGCAATGTCCAATGCCTTCGTGGTCAGGGCTCCATCATGGCTGCATGGCATCCCTCCAGCTCCACGTGGAAACCACATCTGCTTCCCTCCGTCTGGGACTCTTGATGTCCATCCAGACATGGTGGGTCTCTCCTCCTCCTTCAGCCACCAGGGAGGGACTCTGAACCACGTCGTCTGGGCTTCACTTATAGGCAGAAGGGATAGGTAAATTGCAGCATGGAGAGTAAGGAGGAAGGATGCTTCTCCTAGCATTTCTTTCAGGCATTTTTCCTGGTAGACTCTTATGAGAAGCTGATATCTCACTTTTTGCCCACTCTTCATCTTCTCTGCAGACCCTAAATCTCTGTGGGCATGTTAACTGTGAAATGAGCTTTCTGTATCCCTAGAGAGAGGCACGTCTCTAGGCAGTTGCCCAAAGTTAGGGCTTCCTCAAGTCCAGGAACCCCGGCTACCCTTTCCACAAGAGAGTCCCTTGGCTGGCACACAGCTGGCTGACTGAGTGTTCTTGGAGTTTGTCCTAGGGGGCAGGGATTCAACTATCAATTTGAGTTTGATTCAATTCACAAAATTGTATCCAGTACCTATTGCAGGCATAGCATGTTAGAAGTTGGATCGGTGTAAGGTTTGTGGAAACACCAAAAACCAAAGGTGACTGTAAGGCTGTAACTGTGGAGGAGGGTGAGGCCCATCTTGCCATGTGGTCCTCTTTATTGCAGCCATAGAAATGATGGGTTTTTAAACTGAGCAACCTCAGTGCCTCCTCCCTACTTCTTGTTCCGTGACTGCAGTAATAGTCTAGAACTAAGGGGGTTCTTGGTCAGGGATCCTCCAAGGGTCAGCTCTAGAGACCAGAGATTTGGGAATCTGGGGAGCCGGAAGTTGGCAGCAGCTCCTTTCCCACAAGAGGGACACAGTGGCCTTGAAGAGTTCATGAGTGGGTGGAGGAGGGCAGCTTGAAAGAGACTTCTGGCTTTGGGAGCAGTGGAGGCTGGATGAGCTGGCTTCCCAGTTTCCTTCCAGCCGGGACATTTTATTTTCACTGCTCCTTCTCAACATTCCCAAAGTGGCAGCTCTTTGTGCTGGGAGTAGTGATGTCAAAAGAGCCTAAAGCACAGCTCCCCTTCTCAGGTGATAGCCCCAGAGCAGCAAGAGACATTTTTAGAGACAGCTGAAATTCAACAACTATTTACTGGATGCCTATTATAGTCCAGCCGGCATGGAGCGCACCTTCACATATGGCATGGCACAGTGAGCAAGAGTACTGGCCCTGGGGCCAGATTGCCCAGGTATGTGCCCAGCCCTTGCTGCTTACTAGCTGTGTGACCTTGGGTAAGTTACTTAACCTCTCTAGACCTCAGTTTCACCCCTTGCAAAGTGGAGATAAAAATAATATCTACCTCATAGGGTTGTGTGAGGAATAAAATGAGTTAATATAGGTAGAGTGCTGAGAACAGGGCCTGGCATGTGGAAAACGCCGTATTAATGCTACTGCTTGTCATTAATATTATTATTAACAAATCACGCAGGATCCAGAAACACAGTTGTGAAGCAAGTCTTTTTCCTTTCATTTTACAGATGGATTTATGAGGAAACTGAACTTCAGAAGATTCACAGAGTTAGTAATGCCCAGAACTGGAACTAGAAACTAAATTTTGTGCTCCTTCTACTCCCCAGCAGCTCCTGCCATTCTGAGGAGACAAGAAATCAGGAAATTTACATAAGGAACCCTAAAACTGAGGCACCATCCCAGAGATCAGCAGGACCCTGGGAAGGAGAGACAGAGGATTTAGAATCCCTGGCTAACAGTTCTGGAAAGGGTAGAAGGGTATGGAGAATGAGAATGGCAGAAAGGAAATGGAAAAGGAAGAGGTGAAGGCCATTCCGAAGGCGAAGTGTTGAGTGGGTCAGGCTCCTGTACCTCTCACGTCTCCTGCTTCTTAGCAGTCACCAAGGCAGATCCTGGAGCTACCTCTGGCCAGAAAGGGGATATGAGCTTCTAATCCTTCAGCTGCCTGGCCTGGCGCTCTGTACGCAGACAAACCTGCCCAAGAGGCTCCAGTGGGAGGCGCCCCCTACAAAACCGGGAAGCCTGGGCCTGGGCTCGCCATCCCAGGGTCACTGGACTAGGATGGGGGATGGGCCTGTGACAGGAGGTACCCTGGGTGTCCTCTTTCGGCCCCATGGAGTCCTCACCCATCCCCCAGTCATCAGGGAACTCTTCGACTTTGGGGAGGGTCCCTCAAACCCCAGGTCCCTCTACTGCCAGTGGGGTCCCGGAGGTGGGGCTGCGGGATGTCGCTTCGGAATCTGTGGCCCTCTTCTTCATGCTCCTGCTGGACTTGACTGCTGTGGCTGGCAATGCCGCTGTGATGGCCGTGATTGCCAAGACGCCCGCCCTCCGAAAATTTGTCTTTGTCTTCCACCTCTGCCTGGTGGACCTGCTGGCTGCCCTGACCCTCATGCCCCTGGCCATGCTCTCCAGCTCCGCCCTCTTTGACCACGCCCTCTTTGGGGAGGTGGCCTGCCGCCTCTACTTGTTCCTGAGCGTGTGCTTTGTCAGCCTGGCCATCCTCTCAGTGTCGGCCATCAATGTGGAGCGCTACTATTACGTGGTCCACCCCATGCGCTACGAGGTGCGCATGACGCTGGGGCTGGTAGCCTCTGTGCTGGTGGGTGTGTGGGTGAAGGCCTTGGCTATGGCTTCTGTGCCAGTGTTGGGAAGGGTCACCTGGGAGGAAGGAGCTCCCAGTGTCCCCCCAGGCTGTTCACTCCAATGGAGCCACAGTGCCTACTGCCAGCTTTTTGTGGTGGTCTTTGCTGTCCTTTACTTCCTGCTGCCCCTGCTCCTTATCCTTGTGGTCTACTGCAGCATGTTCCGAGTGGCCCGCGTGGCTGCCATGCAGCACGGGCCGCTGCCCACATGGATGGAGACACCCCGGCAACGCTCTGAATCTCTCAGCAGCCGCTCCACGATGGTCACCAGCTCGGGGGCCCCCCAGACCACCCCACACCGGACGTTTGGGGGAGGGAAAGCAGCAGTGGTTCTCCTGGCTGTGGGGGGACAGTTCCTGCTCTGTTGGTTGCCCTACTTCTCTTTCCACCTCTACGTTGCCCTGAGTGCTCAGCCTATTTCAACTGGGCAGGTGGAGAGTGTGGTGACCTGGATCGGCTACTTTTGCTTCACTTCCAACCCTTTCTTCTATGGATGTCTCAACCGGCAGATCCGGGGGGAGCTCAGCAAGCAGTTTGTCTGCTTCTTCAAGCCAGCTCCAGAGGAGGAGCTGAGGCTACCTAGCCGGGAGGGCTCCATTGAGGAGAATTTCCTGCAGTTCCTTCAGGGGACTGGCTGTGCCTCTGAGTCCTGGGTTTCCCGACCCTTACCCAGCCCCAAGCAGGAGCCTCCTGCTGTTGACTTTCGAATCCCAGGCCAGATAGCTGAGGAGACCTCTGAGTTCCTGGAGCAGCAACTCACCAGCGACATCATCATGTCAGACAGCTACCTCCGTCCTGCCCCCTCACCCCGGCTGGAGTCATGATGGGCCGCTGGACACTCGGAGGGATATGGGGCTGGGGGCCAGTTATGATCGCAAGGACCACCTTGTGGGATCACCTTTTCCCAGCTGGCTAGGGCTGAGGCTGGGGTCTCTGCACACAGCTTTTGCTTAGTGTTTCCTGGGTCAGGAACAGAGTCAACAGGACGAACGTGTGCAAAAGCCTTGGACTTGGCTGTGATCTTTGACTGCTGGGGGAGGGAACCTGGGTATGGTGAGACGGTGACGAGAGAAAAGGGTCACAAAGGTGAGGTGAAGCCTCTCAACCAGTGAAATTTCCATGCTTCCAGAAGCAGGGAATTCTCTAAGGGTAGGAGTTGGAGGATACAGGGCAGCAGGCCAGGTTTGGAGTTATTCTAGGGGCCATTTAGGATATTTTATTTTTCAGTGTAATTGTCCAGGGCAGTAATTGCACCCAAGCAAGGTAAGAAAATGACCCATGTTTTCTCATTTCCTTGCTAGGTTTAAAAAGAACTAAATTATAGCCAAGCGTTTCCACTTGAGTTAATAGATCGTTTTTCTGGTTTTATACCTGAGATTTCTTTAAAACGAGAGGACCAGTAGGGTGTATTCCTTTACTGAGTTTGGCCAGAAACAAGGCAAAATAGAAATTAGGGTACATGGAGTAGAAGATAGGAAAGCTGACTGCAGCTCTCTTTCTCCCATTCTTCAGGATAAGCCCTTCTGTTCTATTTTTCTGTCTCTCTCCTGCACACAGGAGATCAAGGGTAGAGCCTGATCTCAGCAGAGACAAAAAGAAGGCAGGATGGCTTTCCTCTCTTTTAGGAGGAAGAACTAGAATGCCTGGGGGTCAGATGGGCGAGGGTGGAGGTTAGCATTTGAATTGGTAAAGTAGCTGGATACAGAGAGGCCAAGTAATCAGCCTGACCAATAATACTGCGAATCTTTTCTTTCCAGGACTGGCTTCCCTGATCTCTCTCCTCATGGCAGCGACCCACCTCCAGTCCCGTGGACAATCGGGTACAAGAGACTTAAGGTTGGGCATGGGAAGGGTGGGGTTTCCATGATCCATTAAATGCCTTCCTACTCCCATTCATCGCTCTCAAAATTAGCTTCAGTGACAAAGACTTAAATCTCTCTCCTATCTGCAGCACTGGGTTGGAGAGAGGGCACAGGAGTTGGTCTTGGCTGTTCATTGATTGAGACTGTAGGAACTGTGTTGGTTGGTATTGGTGGTGATATTTTCAGCAAAGAGGGAATAATTGCAAACTGGACAGGACACCCATCTGGGACCACCTGTCCATCCTACTTCCCTCAATTGAAGCAGGTAACACTAAAGGGTCAAGGCAGGGCCAGAGGGTGGTGTGGTCTGCATTTGAACAAATTCCTGGCTCACTGAGCATCAAAGGGGGAAATGGGCTGGTGGGAGTGGGATAGTCTCCCCTTTAAACAGTTAATAAATAATTTTTATAAAAGGTTATACTGATATCAACATTGACTCCTTTAGTTCAATTCAGTGCATAATAGTTGAACACCCACTAGTCCCTGGGACCCACACAGGGTGTGTGGTCACTGCTTTTAAGGAGTTCATAGTCTAATTTGATGAGATACCTTGTATTTTCACAAAGCACTTTGATCTGATAAAGCACTACAGAATGTGCTTGAGAAATATACTGGAGAATATGTCCATGGTTCTAACTTCTGAGAGTTCAGCCCATGGCAGCAAGATGCATACCTGGAAGCTTCCTGCAGATTGTAGAAAGCATAGGGGTTGTAAATGAAACTCTCTAATAAAGAAAAAAAAAATTAAATGAAACTGGGCAAACAGCTTTCCCCCTTTGTTGTAGGAAAATTTCTAGGTTTGTCTTCCTACCACTAGATTATTATACCAGTCTAGTGCCTATTACATTGAGGAAGTCACCTAAAAACATAGTATATATGGGGAGGAGAGTCGTTTGTGATTGAAAAACATGTTCACCTCTCCTCCCTATTAAAATAAATGCATACTGAGGAATCAATCATTCCTAGACAGGGAAAAAAACTTCTTTCTAACACCACTAATCAGCTATTAGATACAAAGCATTGCCAGCAGGTGGCAGTGTGAGTCCAATGGAAGGAGGAAACGCGAGTGTATGTGGTGGGAGGGGGAAGGGGAGGGCATTAAACATTGCCTGGCAGCCATTTTGTTAATTTATTTTGCCTTTTCCTTTGACTTTGCCCTCCAACCCTTCCTTCACATACATCAAAGAAGAAAGTTTTAAGAGTAAGGGTATCTTTAATTCAGGCTGAAATTTCCTGACACTGTGATCTCACTGGTGTTTATTACAGAGTTTGACATACATGGGTTCATTTGCCATTTATTTTTCCCTGTAGGAGTGGATCATGAAGGAAATAAAAATTTCTCTTTTATTATGCTGAGAACTTTCCCAACAATTTCTGCTATGACCACCTTCCAGGAGTTTTCTAGTCACCAGGATGCCTTGGTAAAGTTCAATACGTAATCTTTGGCTCTGAAAGCTGTTCCTGGACAAAATCTGAGCTAACTCACTGAAGAATCAACAGATTGAGGCAACCATCCGGTCAGTTACTTTTTCCTGCATCCTGCTGGTGTTGGGGTAACTCCCAATCCTAGATGAAAACCTTAGACTTTCTGTTGTCAGGTGTCCCCAGGCAATATCGTAGAGGGGCATGATAGAAAAAGGTAACTCTGGGGTCAGAGAGATCTACTTACTCACTGTGTGAAGTTGGGAAAGCTGCTTAATTTCTCTGAGCCTACTTCCTCACCTGTAAAAATGGGGATCTTTATTACCTACCTCACAGGGTTGTTGTGAGGATTAAGAGATGGGATGTGGAAGCACCTAGCCATATCTGGCAAATAGGTACTCAATAAATATTGGTTTTACTTCCCTTTCCTCTTGCCCTTTTTCCCCAAAAGTATTGATAATGGAAAAGCGGTCCCTTTCATTCTAACAGTCATTTGGGAATGACTGGGGGACTATTCAAACCTTGAAGAATTGGCATTGCTAAGAGTTATGGTGGACGAGGCTTTTTAAAGTGGCTCTAATCCTCTAATTAAATCCTTCTAATTAATGAATCATCACTATATAGCCCTCTCTGTTGGGACCTTACATTCTCAAGTTCAGATTCTATTAGAGAAAGAAAGTAATTTACAATCACAGGGAAAGGTTTTAGGGACTGAGTTCCCTTCCCTAGAATGTATAGTAATTATGGGCTTATTTGCCTGAAAAGTTCATTTACGACTACCTTCACGCAGTATCCAGGGTTATTAGTGAAAGATGCTATCGGCCTGGGGCTTTCACAGTGGACTTAAGTTTCAGGTGAGAATAGGGCTGAGAGGCAAATTTTACTAGAATTTCTCCTTTTGTATGTAATCGCAACAGGAAATTTTAATAGGAGATTCACAGGATGCATTGGTTTGTTTCAAGGTGTGGAACTGAAGTTGACTTATCTTGGTTTTAGTTCTAAGACCCTAAGGTAGGAAGATATGAATTATACTGGAGAGAAGGGCAGCATGGAAATTTTATGGAGGAACTACAGGCTTAACTTTAAGGTTATCGAGTATCTGCTAGTGATTTCATGTGGCCTTTTGCCAACATAGGAGTTAAGCAAATTTCAAGCCCACAAAAAAACGTGAAAGGTATAAGGACCAGGGGACATTTTGAGAGGAGTCAGTGGGCCAGAGAGGGCAAAAAGATATTGCTAAGGTCCTGAACACAGTCGGTGTTACGGTCTCAGATGTGAGACGTGAACGGCGCCCAGGCCGGGCAGCTTGTTCCCATTCCATTGATCCGATACAACCCCAACAGAGGCAGTGTCCCAAACTTGGGTAGGGGCCCCGAGTCTCCAGAGCAAGAGATCAAAGGAGTTTTCTAACAGCAGAGAAATTATCAGCAGAAATTCCCGCGCGGGATGTAGGCTTTAATTTAGACATCTCCGCCCCAAAACTGGCATTTTGAACGCGGGAGGGCATTATTTGTTGGAGGCCCCGGTTTTTCTCCATTTATCCAAATCAGGTAGCCGAAAGGTAAATGAGGCTTCAAGTTGGGCGGCGGGCAGCGAACTTGACAGAACCTCGAAACTGTAGATCCGCCGCCCAACCTAGGCGCCAGGTCCCCGTGACTTCCGCTTTCGGTCTCAACTCCTCTCCCCGAGGAGAGCAGTTTAAACAGTGAAGGCTGCGGGGCGTCGCCGGAAGTGTCGTAAACGCCGGATATCCGGTTCTTCAGGGCGCTAAGGGAGCTGACGGAGAGGGCCGCCGCCCAGCAGTAGACGCTGCCTTAACCTGCCGAGCCGCAGTTCCCGCGGTGTGTGAGTGAGCCCGGGCAGGTGTCCCCTCTTCCGCCGCCGCCATGGGCTGCACGTTGAGCGCCGAAGACAAGGCGGCAGTGGAGCGAAGCAAGATGATCGACCGCAACTTACGGGAGGACGGGGAAAAAGCGGCCAAAGAAGTGAAGCTGCTGCTACTCGGTGAGGGGCTGGAGGCGGGGACTGAGTGGTGGTCGGGAGAGCCTAGGCGCTTGGAAGGCCTGAACGGGGTCTAGTCGGGCCGACGAAAAGGACTCTAAAGGGATCTGGAGGGCGTGCCGGGTGTGGGGCGGGGTGTTGGGGTTCATAGCTGAGGCCCCAGAGGGCGTGTTGAGAGGGGTGGGGTTTTGGGGTTGCGGGAATTAGGCTGTAGAGGGTGTGACTCCGGGCTGGAATTGCGTTTAGCAGAGAGACTTGGGAGTATGGGCAGGTAGGATATTGAGGGAGTAGGAATATGGGAAAAGCTCATAAAGGAAGAGTTGATACTCGGGAAGGTTTTACATTGGGTTGGAGCGTGTTGGTAATGGTTTGTGAGATTGGAGCGTCGTGGTTCTTTGGCAGGATAAAGCTAGGAGGCTTGAATGGATGGTATAGAGACTGGAACAGAATGATCACATAAGGACGTTGACATTTGTTAATGAGAGAGCCTTTTGAACTGTTGGAGGAACCCTGGATTATCCAGGAACATGAAGGTAGGTAGATGAGATAAATGACAAATTATCAAGTATAAAGGAAAAGAGCTTGGGTGCAGAGGCCATCTCTACCTTTCCACCGCTTTCTATCATTTTTATTTTCAAGGTTTTATAACGCCTTCTGTTTTTATAAAAGGATCGGAAATGGTGTGAGCTGAAGAAATTTAAAGAATGATTTGTTTGAGGTTTGTAGCAGAAGATATAGTGAACAAGAGATTACACATTGGAAAGTGCTGAACAGTTGCTATAGATGATGTGCAGTTGGAATAGTTACCTTAGGATAAGTTACAGAGTTGGACATATTTACTGTAAAGACTATGGTAGACTTCTGGTGGCTGTTGTATCCATTTTGGCCTCTTCAAAGCAAAACCATTGGCTTCAGGAATTACTGTTTATATTATCTGATAGTCGTTTTAAGTGGCTTTTTTTGTGCAGTCGGATGTGTTTTACTCAACATGAGTTTTAAAATTTTTGAGAGACTCAGTAAATCACACAAAGAATCCTGGCATTAGCTTACTAATAAATCAAGCCACATTTCATTATTAGTATTTTCTAGGGTAGTATTTCCATTAGAGATGAATAAGTAGGAGTAGGGGTTTCTGTAAGCAATAGAAATTTACTTTTTAAAACAATTGATTTCTGAGGAAAAGGAGTCACTTTAGGGGAAGTGCTAAATTTTCGTGGTATAAAGCTCCAGAGAACAGAATGTACCATTGTAACCCAAGACTAATTTTGTACTCTAGGACATGCTAAGTGCCCTGGTAGTCTCTTCTTAACGTATTTGGTTGGTTGTAGATTGCAGAAGCTCTGGTAATAGCTTTTTTGGATATACTATAAAGGGAAAGTTATGTATTGGAGCTTAAGCTTCCAGTTTGTATACTTGAACTTTCAGAAGATGCAAGTTCAAATTGTTCTAGACTGCCACTGTCTGTATAACAGGTAGATAAGCATGGTCCCTGGTACATAGTAGGTGCTCCTTAAATATTTACTGTTAACCAGCCTGAGCCAGCAAATGTTGAACATTGGTCCTTGGGGCCTTTGAGAAATTTGATATAAACTATAATATTTAGGGCATTCACTTTTTTTTTTTTTTTTTTGAGACTGCTCTGCTTCCCGGGTTCACGCCGTTCTCCTGCCTCAGCTTCCTGAGTAGCTGGGACTACAGGCACTTGCCACCACGCCCGGCTAATTTTTTGTGTTTTTAGTAGAGACGGGGTTTCACCGTGTTAGCCAGGATGGCCTCGATCTCCTGACCTCGTGATCCGCCTGCCTCAGCCTCCCAAAGTGCTGGGATTACAGGTGTGAGCCACCGCGCCTGGCCAACATTTTCTTTATTGATTTATTGGTTATGAAATTAAAGATGTATTCTCATCTTCTATGAGTGATTTGATTTACACTGACCAACAGAGATACCCTCAGGACATCAGCTTATTGTAAGGTAGTTGGAAACTTTTGAGACTTTCTTCCAAAAGGCAGGATTAGGCAGGCACAATTTGGACAGGCGGAACTTGTCCATATGTCTAGAAGAATTTTTATTCAGGATTTTACAAAGAGTGCATTTAATTAAAAACAAAATTAGACACTTGATGACTTAGGGAACTGAGTAAGCAGTGAGTAAAAATCAAAGTACTAAACATATTTGCTTTCAATTTTTATCTTCATTCTTTTTTAAGTAAGATTTTTTTTTAATATTCTTGAGCAAGTTAAATCCAGAAATTCAAATAGTTTGCAGAAACATATGTTCTTGCTTGAGCCATATCATAACACACATAGAAAATTAAAATTATCTTCTATGCTATTTCTATAAGCAAAATGTACCCAAAACAGTATACAGTTTTCTTTTTCCTGAATAATATCTCCTTTGCTGTAGATGCAAGTCGTTTTTACTTTATCGCTATGGAACTTAGTTTAAGTTGAGATCTATCTACTTACCCTTGTGTCTCCTGGCACATGATATATTTTCTTATGGGGGTATAGTTTAACATGGTGATTAATAGCATGGGTCCTGAAGTCAGACTGCTTCAAATCCTAATTCCCGTTTGCTAGTTATAGCCTTGGGAAAATTAATTTCTCTTGGCCTCAGTTTTCTTATCTTTAAAATGGAGAAAATAGAGCTACTTCTAGGATTGCTGTGAGGATTAAATATGATAATGATGTAAAGCAGAACACAGCTTGGCACATAGTACTAGCTTCATGAAGATTAGCTATTCTTATTAAGTCAAAATCAATGTTACAGATTGTAGGTATTATGGAAATTATACCAAATTAAGAAGCTAGTGTGGGCCAGATTATTAACAGACACTTCAGTATTGTAATTCTTCCTTTGATAACCTTTGGTTTGAATTTCCTTTAGATGTTCTTAGGAAGGGCTGGGCATGGTAACTCATTCCTGTAATCCCATCACTTTGGGAGGCTGAGGCTGGTAGAATCACCTGAGGTTAGGAGTTCGAGACCAACCTGGCCAACATGGCGAAACACCATCTCTACTAAAAGTACAAAAATTAGCCGGGCATGGTGGTGTGCATCTGTAGTCCCAGCTACTTGGGAGGCTGAGGCAGGAGAATCACTTGAACCTGGGAGGCAGAAGTTGCAGTGAGCAGAGATGGCACCACTGTACTCTAGCCTGGGCGACAAAGTGAGACTGTTTGTCTCAAAAAAAAAAAAAAGTGTTCTTGGAAAGATCTTGGTAGGTATATCAAATTAGTGTTTAATTATGACATTCTGTTGAAAAAATACTATGCAAAGCTTCCCAACCAATGTTCCAGTGCTTAGGATGGCATATAGGTGTGCTGTTTACAAATTTTTTATAGCATTGAAATTTTAAATCATTTTTAGAAGTTCAGACTTTTACAGCAGTTGAAATTACATTTGAACGTCTTTGGTTTGATT